AGCACCCTGTTGCAATGAGATATTTGATTGCCGGCACTGCCACAATGATGCAAAGGTTGAACCTTGTTATGCATTAATAATTAGTTTGAGGTTATGTAAAAAAAAAAAAAAATGGATTTGAGCAGAAATTATTGAAGAGTATAACTCTTGTTATTCTTTAAACAGAATTCAATAGAAGTTGATCCGCTCGAGCGTCATGATATTCCCCGTCACGAAATAAAAAGGGTTAGTATTATTTACATTTGATGCATATGTTATTATGTGTGTTAACATAATGTGGATATAAAGAGGTATTTGGTTTTCGGAATTCTTTTAATTTAATTTCCTAGTCATTGAAAAACGAAGAAATGGATTTTCTGTCAAATTCGAACTCTATTACTTGTCTGAAAATGTTGTTTGATAGCATGATACAGCTTCTTATGGATAAGGCATTGATAAATACTTTGATTTGTTTCCTATCCTCTCTCTCTCTCCTTTTTCTCATTGACGTTGCTGTTACCTGGACTGAGTCAAGAAGTTTGTATTTTTTTTCCTAGATATCTGTAAAATTATTTGTGTTAGGAATATTTTCCATAAATTTCACTTCCTTTTTTGTGTCATTAACTAAACAAACATATGATCAATAGTACGTTAGATTTCACTAATTTTGATTTATATCTGTCTTCAGGTCATCTGCTCAGTGTGTAACACGGAACAGGATGTGAGTTTCATCCTTCGAGACTCGTATATGGATGCTAACATTTGACAATTTACTAAATTTATGCTGCTGGATGATTTATTAATTTGATTGACATTACCAATTTTATTTGCCATTTAGGTTCAACAAAATTGTATTAACTGCGGGGCCTGTATGGGGAAGTACTATTGCTCAAAATGCAAATTCTTTGACGACGATGTAAGCTTCTTTGATTAAATTCTCAAAACAGTACATGCTTTTTTACCACTTAAATAACCCCACGTTTCTTTTTTTAGGTTTCGAAGAATCAATACCACTGTGATAAATGTCGAATCTGCAGGTGAAGATCTTTTCTGATGGATTTATTTATTTAATTATTTTATTTTTATTTTTCCCATTTGCCAGACCATGTTGCTTTATGTTCCTCCCATCTTGACTTAATCTTCGTACTACTATTGTTTTGTGATAAATTTTCCTGGCATATGAACTCTAATGACAAACTTTTTCTACAGAATTTTGGTTGCCTATTTTTTATGGCTAATTCGTTTTCACTCCTTTCTTGTGTAGATAATTCCATGCAACTTTCTGTATCTAATTTACTTTTTCTCTTTTGGACTTTTATCACAACAGAACTGGTGGCAAGGAAAATTATTTCCATTGTGACAGATGTGGTAAGTCATATTTTGATATGATTTTTACTTATTGATAGTCGGGGTTATGAACCAAGAAGTTAAAGGCACGTGTTTTCTGTTTCAGAATGCTGCTATTCAAATTTATTGAAGGACTCGCATATTTGTGTAGAAAGAGCAATGCACCACAATTGCCCGGTTTGCTTTGAGGTAAATATATGACACTGCAATTATGGTAAGAAAGTGTTTTGATTAATTTTCTATTTTAACTTTTTACATCTTGGAATGCAGTATCTTTTCGATACCACAAGAGACATCACTGTATTGCCATGTGGCCATACTATACATCTTGAATGTGTTAAGGAGATGGAAAGACATTTCCAGTAAGATTTCCCGTCCTCTCCCTCTGTTAAACCAAATCATCTAAAAGCTTAATTCTTAGAATGGGTAAATTTTGTGTTCAAACACCCCTCCTCACATGCAGGCCTAAAAGGCCTGTTGTGCATTATTTTATAAATGGATGTCAGTAAGACTTAAACACAGTATTTTTTGCTTGCTGATACAATGTTGAACTAATTTTTTTTAAAAGCTTCTGTTCTGTTCTTTCTTCATTTCCATTGAAGGTGTTCATACTAATGGTTTAGGCACACAGGTATTCCTGCCCGATTTGCTCAAAATCATATTGTGACATGACCCTCATATGGGAGAAGCTGGATCAGGAGGTCTGCAAATTCATAGCGATTTTGTTTTTTATTTTTATTTATTTTTTCTCCTGTATCCTAACCATTTACTTCTAAATCCAGGTCGCTTCAATACCTATGCCTGAAATGTATCAAAACAAGATGGTAAGAAACGAAGTCCTAAATAATCAAACCTGTAATGCTTTCATTGCTAAGATATCTTATCTGAAACACTTATGGTATGTTTGATTGTATTTATTTTCTATGGAAAATATCAGTTTTCCATCCAAATTCCTACTTTGAAATGTTTGATTGCTATTTTTTTCTATGGAAAATATTTTTCAACTTTTAAAAATATGCCCAATTTTCCCTGTTTTTAAGGAAAACATTTTCTTTGGGGGGAGTAGGTTTTTGTTTTCCTCAAAATAAGGAAAATATTTTCTTTTTTAGTATATATTTTCCATGTCAATCAAACATACTCTTAATATTTGATGTCTCGGTGATTTAGGTATGGATCCTCTGTAATGACTGTGGAGAAACATCGGAGGTGAACTTCCACATCGTAGCGCACAAGTGCTTGAATTGTAACTCCTACAATACAAGGCAGACAAGAGGAGGTCATTCTTCATGTGCATCTAGGATATCAGAAATGGTTAGATGATTGGATAAAAGAAGGGATATTATCCATTTACTTCTCAATGGATGAAGCATAATATCACACGGGTTCATCTATCTTTTTTAGCTGATAGTAGAATCCAGTCGTAATTCTGAAGAACACATCCATTTCTGCTATTTTACATTTGTATGAAAATTATTCTTTTCATCACTAGCTTGACCTTGACATGGCTTCTTTATGTTTGAAACTGTGAAAGGATGATACTTTAAAAAGGAATGATAGAATGTGTATAGACTATGTATATGACATTTACCATATTTGCTTGTTATGGAGTTTGGCTCGAAAATAACAATTCACCGGTTTTACCCAAATTTTCTTCTTTCTTGGACATCCTTAATATAGGTTTTTGCTACTCTTAAAATATAGTATGAATTGGGTCTTAAAGGAGTATGATAAAAATAATTGGTCCTTATTTTTTTGGGACCCTAGGCAGCCGCTTATGCCGCCAAAGTCCAGGGTCAGCCTTGGGAGGAAATATTGAGCCCATCATAAAATGACCATGTGCTCTGGTTATTGTGTTGGCTTGAATATCTTCTGAAAGTGAAAGTAAGGGTTTGTTTGATTGACAGATGTGGAAAGGCATTTCAATTTCATGTAAATTGGAAAATAAAAATTCAAGTACTCCACAGTAATGCATTTTTCATGAAATTGACAAAAAACAAGTTTAAAGTGGTTGCATCTTAAAATTCGAACTCTATTTTCACTTTCGTATCAAACAGCCAAAGTAAAAATAGAATTCTTCGGATGTGATATTTTTCATAAAATTTAAACTAATCAAACGGACCCTAAAGAAATAATCCAATGAATTTTCACGTAAAATTCTCGCGTGTCTTTCTTTTTATTATCGCTATTTTTTTAATTTCTTTTGCGTTGAAAATTTGATCAAAATTCACAGATATGCTTTTTGCCCACACGAGAAGGTTGATTTTGGCTTACATTCAAGATTATCATACCACCTTCCTTCCTTTTTCTTTTCCTATATACCAAAAAAAAAAAAAGGAGGACGCGCGATCAGGAAAATGCCAAAACAAAAGGAATATCCTTACTTGTTCCACTTTTCATTTTATTGGCTTTTTAATAAAAAGACGCAAAAATATCGGAATTTCAAGAAAGTTACATTCAAATATTATCTTGGAAGAAAAAACCCTCAACAAAAAAGAATGAATAAAACAAAATTCAACTGTATATCTCACAGTACCTTCTTTGAACTTCCAACTTTGAAGGAGAAATCATTTCATTATATTAACACCAATGAGGATTAAAGGCTCAATTTAAATGTAATAAATGATAAATAAAAAACATTCATGTCAACCTCGTATTCCCTGATCCATACGGTGCATATAACTATCGTTGAAAGATGATGTAATATATTTGATACGTACATTAACGTAATAATTTTATCAGACATCTCTATTTTCTATTTTTGTCTGACTTCAGTGGCTGGGGGAGGGGGAGAAGGGGAGCCCTCGACTTTAGCTCAAGGCTATCAAGACCATTTAATTTTTCATTGGTAATTAGAGCCTTGCTACGAGTACAAGGTTTTTCACAGAAAACATACATAAATTTGAAATGAAGGGAAATGATCGAAAGATTGGAGGAGGGAAAATACACACACACGGACATGATCCATTCATTTCAAAATTCTGGCAAAAATTCCCATACTAATGGAATTTTTCTGGTAATTATTATTTTTTTTTATCAGTCCAATACCAAAAAAATATTGTTCCCTTGATTCCATCCCCGTCCGACTTAGGAGTGGAAAATGAGTCTGAGTGAAATGCTCGATGTGGCATGCAGATTTTGGCAAAGAATATATTACCAAGGAAAGACCAGACAAATGAGTTGACGAAGCGACGAGGACAACACCATAATAAGTGGGGTAAGAATCACATACTTCAGCCAGACAATACAAGACTTGCACCAAACATTTGATTTTCTTATTTATTTCTTGAATTTAACTAGAATAGAAATATTGATTCTGAAGAGAGTTTCACTTCATTTGAAATTGGGCGGTTAGGTAATCAAATTCTACGGTCATTTAGTCATCAAATGAAAACTATGAATGCAATTTTTCCTCAAAGAAATTAAATCTTGCTATTTAAAAAAAATATGGTAAAAACCAAATGCAAGAAATACTTCACAAGCCAATCTTAATCTGCAGCACATATCGATACATCTAAGTTTACTAGCTGCTCCACAAGCAAATCTTTAATGATTGGGCAAAGCAAAATCAAAAAGGGAAGAACATTAAAAATGAAATACCGTTGGGGAAGGGTTCGCATTTCAATCTTGGATTGGGACTATTCGTTGCATTCCAAAAAAGCAATAGCCATATCCCTTCAGCCTTCTTGTGCAGTAGCAGTAGCGGCCAATCTCTGCCACATCAGTTCTCGTTGTTCTTCCAACTCTCTTGCCTTTGCTTCCCTTTCTGCATATTGCCTTTGGCATTCCTCGAATAACTCCACATCCATCTCCAAAAACATTTTTCGAACGTTGACGGTAAGACCATGTACTGCCTGATTCCAGTGGGACTGGATATTCTTTTCTAAAGCCTCGAAGATAATTGGCAAAATGACATTCCGGTTCTGGGCAATCAAGCTTACTACATGTTCATTATTCCACAGAAAGAGTGTTCGTTCCGCAACCTGAAACATTACTTTGCCTCAGATAATACTATGAAGATTGCCTCAATTAAGATCATTGATAAACAACTTTAGAACATATAATTTTCTCTCTAATCAACAGATATGAGATTTATTTCCTCTTCGTTCTGCTTGCACAAAGTGGAAGAAAAATAAAACCTAGGATCCAGACCCTATACAAGTATGACTTACTATTAAAAAGAAAAACTCCTAATAATTAAACCAAATTTGTAGTTGGCTCTCATGCAACTTGAACTTTTCATCTCCAAGAACTGAAATATCACTTTCCAATCAGTAAACAACTAAAAATATACACAATAGCAGTTATATTCTTGTCTTGGTACAATATATACTAGCTGTCCAGCAGACAACTTTTTCTCAATAACAATCCTGGGCCACAGAAGTGCAAAAACATAGCCAATGACCAATAGAACTTTGATTAAATCCATGACTTCTTGGAGTGGCACAACACCATTTATTTTAGGGCGGCAAACAAGCAAAGCCACAAACCAACCCAACGTCCCACAGAGAGAAGATCTCAAGCTAACTGATTGTGAAGTTTTAAGTGCTGATTCTGCATGTTCCCAATCTTAGATTCATTCAGTCAAAATGTCACAATATTATGTTTAGTTAAATAAGAGATCAACTAAGGAAATATATTAATGGAGTTTTTTAAATCTTTATCTATGTAGCAATTTTTAAATTCCAAAGAATTTCAAAAGCTTCAAAGAAAAATATTGTAAAAACCACGTCTTAAGATACAAATATATTGTGTTGCCAAATTAGTCACAGTAATTTCAAAGGATATAATGCCAGTAAGAAACTTTTATTTGATCAACTTTGTGTTCCTCAAGCTACACCTTATCCAATAATTTACTACAGAAATTATTAGGGGCAAATAAAGTTCTGGGCTTCAGGAAAAACGCAATTATGCAGTCATATATTCTAAAAGCAACCAAGCTACCTCCAACAAAGATTGAAATAACCGCCCAGTCACTTAGAGTTCTTATATGTTCCACAATGTATAAAAAGAAATATTGGTGTAATATATTTTCAATATACAGAGGTTTCTAAATTCTTCTCCTCATGTCATATCTGACAAAAACATACAAACAATGCCTCCTTGCAATTGCTCATGCATGCAAATTCAATGCAAAACTTGGCAGTGTTATAGATGCATGAAATTGGACAAAATGACACCTCTTCCTTGCATAACTCAGAATGGGATGCTTTGTTGTGATCGTGCAAACCATAAATTTATGTTGCAAATATGCTCCTGTTTGAGTCCAATTCTCTAGAAATTCATTTTTCTCCAAACTCATTTTCAATGATACATTCTCCAAGTAAAATAATTTTACATGTAAACTCAAAACTTTTACTTACTTTTTAACCACTCTCTCCAAAAAAACTCACTATTACAAAATCTCATTTCCCCGAAATGAGGCTCAAATAGGGGCTATATAACTAATATGTTCCAAATACCGCTACTAGTTTTATTTTTTCACTCAATAATTGACAATTAATTATTTGAGAACATTTTCTAGTGCAGTAATAATCTTAACTTGTAACTAAGTCCAACCATAAGAAAGATAACTATTCTAAAACTTTAACCCGAGTTTGGAGGTAGACTTTTCACGGAAAACACCTTCAATAGTATTAAATTAAGCAATACAAGAATTTTCAAAAACCCATTTGATGAATTCTACTAGTTGAAAAAGATCAAGATGAGATTCAAAGACCATTTCCGGCCTAGGATCAACGATCGGATACGAGGTTCTTAAGCACTACATTTTTGTAGTGCTCAGTATCAAACTAAGCATGATAACTAATTTATCAATTAACTACTAAATAGATTATAACTGTACAAGCACAGAAGAAAATGGCTAATGATGAAGTAGTAGTAAAACAAGAAAACTTGCTCTCTAGTGGTCACCAGAGTCCCCTCATGGCCACTGAGGTGAGTATTCGATCGTAAACTTCGGGGCCTCGTGGGATTAGTCGAGGTGCGCACAAGCTGACTCGGACATCCACGGTTATAAAAAAAAATAAAAAAAAACTCCAAAATTTCTAATTGTGAGTAGATTGGAGTGCAAAAAGATGTTGAATGTCAACTTTGTCTTATTTTGACCTGCAACCCTTTAGTTGAGCAGGTCACGAAAATCACATCTAAAGTAGTAGGTGAAAATTAATGATAAGGTACACGTTCCTGCTCCCCATTTCAGAAAGGACCAAGGTTATAGCCAGCCTCAAGAAATTGAACTACACGAAGAAAAAAATAAACATAGGTATATTTAACAGGACCAAGCTTACAACCTTCCATTAGGATCACTTTTATAGCCAAAACTACAAGGGGAACGTACCATCAAGTCCAAAATTATAACGTGCATCTTCCAAAAAAGGTAAATAGAGTTGCTAGTTCAGAAAAAGAAAAGCTATATAAAGTACTGAGATCATTCTGGCACTCTCACCAAAGATTTAAATAGAAATCAAATAATATATCCAAAAAGTGACGGAAATTGAGAAAAAACTAGAACACCAAAATGGACTGAAATTGAAATTTCCATCACTAAGGCATAGTCGACTTTTACACAAACATGGGAAGTGCATCACATTTAGGCTCCAATTCTTACGAAAATGAACCAACATCATGCCAAAGATTCAGGAGCCAACATTATTATTCAATTATGTGTATGCAAGACACAGATCAACAAGTATGTCTAGTTTTACAAATCAATATATAAAGTACAATCAAGTAAATGTAGTAACTTGAGTATAGAAAAAGAGAGGACAACGTTGCTAGCCACACAAACAGCATAAGCCAGAAAAGATACGAGGACTCTCATCACGAATAGCATAATAATTAAAACAAAGATGTATCCAGATCACAAATTCAGAAATACTTTTACCATCCAATCAGCATTCTATAAAAGTCATTATTCCATGAATCCATGCGAAGAAAATCAGTAGCATTAATCAAGCACATCAAAATGTAACACTTATAAGATTCATAAACAATTTTGCAAAACCAAAGGATATAAACAAGAAAGTAAATGTGCCTGAAACCAATACGATATAACGAATCTAAGTGTTTTTCTTGCACCTGAAAGTGAGAGCTGTTGAGGCAACGAGCAATCTGTCTGAAGAGAGGGACCATGCATCGCTGGAATTCTGGAGCTTGGGTTGCCTCCAAAACTTCCTCGAGTTCCCCAAGAAAAAGAACTTCCTTTTGGCAATTGGTGACTGGCCAGTACTTCAACAAACCCCTTATAACGGTATCTGCCAATTTGAAGTCTTTTTCCACAAACTGAGTAATGCAGTAGGATAACTGCTGATGGTAAATTGCTACTGGTTTGGGCTTATGAAGTGGTATCAAAGCCCGCACAAGAAACAATTTGTGCTCCTCCTTCATTGGCAGTGCAAACCCATTAATTATACTTCCAAGAATCTCCAAAAGCTCTCCAATTCCACTGTGCCTCTCTGTCTCATATATGAACCGATAGAAAATATTATTTATTGCCTTCCTAATAAATGGCCTATGCACCATGAACTTCCCATATATCCTATGCAGAATTGTCTTCAAATACTCCCTCTCCCTCATATCCTCGGAATCAAACAAATCTAGCAACTTCAACACAAAAGAATGGTCAATATATCGTTTTGCAATCTTCGTATCTGTATCAGATGAAACCACATATCGCAGTAGCAATTCATAAACCAACTGTAAATGTGGCCAAGAGGGATCGAGGAAAGACTCTTCCTCTTCGGGGTCTATATTTTCAGACCCTGTGTTTTCATGGGAGGCTGGGGGCAAGCAACGGAAAATATTCAAGGATATCATTTGTATCATTTCCTCTTGATTGGTTTCAGAAATTTTACTTGACCCAGATTGAATAAAATCTACAAGCTCCACGAGGGTTTGTTTTTTAATCTCCTTTTCTCTCACCATCTTAAGGGTATCCGAGAAATCAAATTGGAAGCAACAGATTTGGAGTTTCCGCAAGAATAAACTCTGCCGCTCGGAAACTGGGACATCTCGGAACATAGGTAGATTCTCAATGGTTCCGGGAAGAGGAACCATTCCAGCCGTGGCGGGAAGTTGTCGCAATTGGGATGAAACAGGTGGCAGGCCACCACGGGAGGCATGGTTAACAACAACATTGGAGGTAGAGACAGGACCGGAGCTCCGTCCGGTCGGAGAACAGACATAGTCAACAGAGGTGCCATCCGATTTTGCCACCTTGCGGTGGCCTCTCTTCATGATTTTATTGAACATCTTCCCCCTCTATAACAATTAAAACCCTAACCCTAAACACCACATATGCATGTAGATACAATATATGTGGTATGTATAGTTAATTCACGTGTACGAAAATCTAAATCGTGAAAAGCAGTAACCAGAAAGGGAGATCAAATTGGACTACGAAATAAAAAGGTAATTATGCAATAAATAAATGGATCTAAACGTGGAATATACTGGGAGGGAATAGATCGCCGGCGATTGGAATATTCCGGCGATCAAAGCTGCGAGGGAGAAGGAAAGAGAAACGAGATAGCGAGTATGAATATAGATAAATACATAAAATATATTCGTAGAGAGAGACGAAATTAGGGATTTTACTGTGTGTGTGGTGTAGTACATGTAAACGAATTATAAATGCTCCAATTTGACATTTTCTGGAATTTGTTCCCATTTTTTTATACCATAATTTTATTTCTTTTTTCATTTTATTCTTTTTCTTCTTAACCTTGGTTATGTCCATTTCATTAAAATCTTATTTCTTACCCCCACAACCTCCTAAGAAGGGAAACGAGTGCCCTTCGGCTAAAAGGTGCGTTACATCTGTCTCATTGAGCCCCTTCCGCAGTCAGTGCGTTACAGCTCCAAATTGGAATAATGTAGAGTAAGATTAGAGGCCAAACATTACCGATATTATGACGAAAAGTAACGGCCATTGCACGCGATCACAGAGGCAATATAAAGAGAATTAGGAAGGAAAAAGACAAAAACAGGATGAGTGTAAGCATTAAGGGTTGAAAGAATTTATACTTTGATTTCAGATATGTAGACAGATGCAACGAGTCCAAGATAATTCCACATGCTCACTAGTGACACGACCACGAACATTGTAATGCTTCTAGTCGAGTAGCCTAAAGATTTGCCGATTTGGCCTAAATTGTTTATTTCTGTTAATGTCCCTCCTATGCCACATGATGTTGCAATGAACGGGATTAACATGTCTATGCTGAAAAGTGCTTGAAGTATGTAAGGTCCTTACCTCGGTCCGGTGGATTGAACATGTCTTTCGTGCAAGAGACGAGCTTCTGTGGATTTACTCGAGCCCCAAGAGGGCGATGATGTAGGTTGCAATTCAGCTTCCAACTGTGTTGATTCAATTCTAAGAGGATTTTTTTATCACTGTTTTGAATTGTTTTTTGCTCTTCCATGCATAGAATTCTTGT